AATTTTTTTATTTAAAAATATTAACTTTAAACTTTTTCTATTTAAAAATTAATTAGATAATGATGTTAATGTGACAAATAAATTTTTTAACTGAAATGTTGAAAGTTGACATCTTTAAAAAAAAAAAATTGAAAGTTGAAGTTGAAATTCTTAAACAAAAAATGTTGAAAGTTAACATTTTTATTTAAAAATTGACATCCTTAAATAAAAAGGATTTACTTTAGTTATGTTACATTTTTTTAAAAAATTTTATAAAATATTATTATTTTAATTATACTTCTATCTAAGATAAAATAAAAAATTATCATAGTAAAATTTGTTTATCTCTTAATTCACTTGGCAATATGTATATGATTTAAATTTAAAATATTTTATTGTTATATACAAAAATTCTTATTGGACCTTATAGGTAGTTGGCATTTTTCTATAACTTTTTATTTTTCTCCTTCTAAAAGTAGTAATAATCTAATTGATCTTGTGACCGTCATAAATAATTCATACATTGATAAAATAAAATAAAAAACATGAGAGATGTTAAATATATAAGTAAATATTTATTAATTTTTACTTATACATTTTTTAACCTATTAATTTTTATTGATGTATTTTTAAATCATAAGGTACAATATGTCAATCAATATTACTAATAAGCTCTTATGTTTTAAAATTATGAAATTTAATAAGTTAGTATATCTAATATTATTAATCGATAATATCATTAATTGGCTAATCGTTACACCCAATGGATAAAGACAGATAGTATTACTAATAGATTGAGTCATTATAGATTTTTTTATACTTTTTTTTCCTTTTTTTAATAGTACTATTTTTTTTATGCTTTTGTTAAAATTAAATTAAAAAAATAAAATGCAATTCATGTTTAACATTATGCAAAACAACATTTTCTAATTACGTCATCGAAAGAAATTCACAATAATCTTTCTTCCTCTTGTTTTTCAGAGAATAATCCTCCACCATAAAACCATGGGCATGGTTTATGCTCGCGCAACAAAAATTATTGGGGTCATATATTTTTTTAAAATATTAATTTTATTTAAA